GTGTGTGTGTGTGTGTGTGTGTGTGTGTGTGTGTGTAGGACTGTTTTGCAGTGTCTTTTTTCAGAACCCTGCGAGTTAGGTACCAGGCTTTTCTTCCGAGGTGCATGGGTATACTTGAACTTCCAACCTTCTGGTTAGCAGCAGAGCGCCTTGCTCGCTTGAGCTGTCCCTGGGCTCTGCGGCTGCTGCCCTGTCTGTGCCTCCACGACATACTATGTCTTGGTGACTTGACCACGTAGGAGCCATCATTATAATCATGTAGTCTCTGTATAACATAGGGTGTATTACGTCATGCCGACTTGGTGATTAAGACGAGCCAGACCTTCCTAGGCGTGAGTCCCCCTCGGCCCCTTGCTAACCAGGTCCGTTCTCGAGTTTCTCAAGGGGCTTAATGAGATGGTGTTTTCAGGAGAATCGATTGCAGGAGGGGAAGGCACTGTGGGCTCAGCCAGAACATGACTTGAACAAAAAGAACCAGTCCCATCTTGGAGCAAAGGAGGTCACCTTTGGGTCCCCTGATGGCCAGTCATTGACTGTGGCTGCCCCCAGAATAGGGGCATGGAACCTCTCAAGCTGTGATGGCTTCTGTTTGAGAGAGCTCCGGTTGAGAGCTGGGTGCATCCACCAGAAAGGGTCCTGGGCTGGGGACAAATAGAGCGTCCTCAACCTGGTGGGCATCGAACATGTGCAACTTCTCTAAATGTCTTGATCCATAAAATGAGGTAGGTGATCCTAATACCTCTCTTCCAATGGTGTAAGGAAGTTTCTGCCAAACACGATCTATAAGGAACTTTATGGAAATGTCTGGCACAGATCAAGTGGCCAACAAATGCTAACTATTCTTATCTAAGGAGCCCTAGTGGCACCGTGGGCTAAGTGATGGGCTGCCAACCCTGAAGTCAGAAAGTTAAACCCATCAGCTGCTCCTTGGGAGAAAGAGGAAGCTGCCTGCTTCCATTAGATTTACAGTTGTGCAAGTCCTAAGACGAAGTTCTCTGTCCTGTAGGGCTGCCTTGAGTCAGAACCGACTCAGTGGCAGTGGGTTTTATCTATCGATTACCATTATCTAAGAAGTTCCTGGTGCACATGGCCAGCATGCCTGGCTACGAATGGAAAGGCTGGAGGTTTGAGTCCCATCGGATGTGCTGACTTCCAGAAGCCTATGGAACCTAGGCCTGCTCTGACTCGCATGGTGCCACCATGAGTCCGAACCTGGTTTATCATGCTCTCAACCATTGCTATGATTCCATCAATTATTCTTCATGCCTATAGACAGCCTCTGTAATTCATCATTCAAACAGGAACTCTTCCGAGAGTGAAAAGGCCAGTCTTAGTCCTTATCCCAGGACAGC